CTTCTATATTTTTATTTCTCCAAAGAGGTGTTAGTTTATAATCTGTTTCACTCATCCACATTAGCTTCAACAGTGTGTTCACTATGTTGTTACTACAATGAGCAAGACAGAAGTGTATTTTTTCTGTACGGAAAACAGTATTACTGACAACTTAGCAGCCAATCACATTTCTCTGCCTATATGTTTTTTTAAAAGGAAGGTTTTGAGAGAAAGACTGAGTGTAGTAGACATAAACTTTTTTTGAAATTTATTTAGAAGAACTAAATGTGCTGACAAAGAAGATATTGCAAGCTGAGCTACAGCAAAAGCAGAGGGAGCTGGGAAGCGAGGAATACTTAAGAGTCTTTGATCCAGAGAATCTGCTACTGAGGTACAGAGTGTTCCAGGACAGAGCGAGGCAGAGCGGCCGGACCACTCATGGGAGAGTGCTGACGAGGTGGGTTGGTGGGTGAGTGCTGGATGAGTGTGGCTGGCAAACTGAGAGGATTTCATTAATCTGAGCACAAGAAACAACAGGTTAATATCAGGAGGGCAGGCAGGGATGGCACTCGGTAGAGCACATACCTCTGCCAATGCCCAACAGTCCCCTTAAATTTAAACAAGCCTTATAGCTGAGGCCACATTATGTTATCTCCGCTACACCTTTGTAACCTGTGAGGAAACCAAATTTAAATCTGTGAGATATTTGGATTGCTACCAAATTGGACACACTCATAGGTATCTGTCCCCTAATTGTGCCTGTCCTAAAATCTGGATCTGCCCCTTTGTACTGATTACTGCCAAAATTGAATCCCATCCTCCCATCCTGAAATCCATTTAGCGTGTAATCTTGCAGACAAAAAAAACAGACAAACCAAAACACAAACAATTGGACAGAGGTGAAAACTTGGCCGACAAAAGCGAACAAGTTATACGACAATAAGTGTCGGTCAAGCCAGTCCTTAAGTGCTGCCGAGTCCTGGAGAGAAGAGGACTCAGATCAGGTGCTCAGTCATCTAGCCGGGAGCTGCAGGAGAACGGAGGCCACGCCCAGCCAGGAACTCACACAGACATGAGCAGCAGACAGAATGGGGCCAAGCAGAAACACACATGCAGGCGTAGATCAAAAAAACACCAAAGTAAACAGAAGAGTCCACCAACCCAACAGGCATCGTTACTCAGTGTCAGTTGAAACCTCCTGGTGAGTTCAGACCGTGCTGAAGCTGTGTGTAAACAGCCTCATCTTTTCTTCCATGTTGGTCTTTATCCTCATGGAGCTGTTGACAGTATTGGAAAGGGATGTTTTCTTTAAAAGAAATAACATGTGTGCAAACATGTGTGCTCTCTTTTTTCATGCATATGACACTGAATTACTCAGTGAAGCTGACGGCTTTTTTTTCTTTTCAGTCTTGACAAACATCTGGTTCTATGAACGATGGTTTAGACAGTGCACAGAAGGAACGATGCTTCCAATGAGACACAGTCTATGTTGGATAATCTTATCTTGGCCCTAAAAGGAAGTTATACATGTATGAATCATTCCTTCTTATTGTCAACACAATATTACACAGTGTCATACAACAGCTCCACAATGTAGTAGAATGGTTATAAGCTCCAATATAGCCTTTCCTTTAGATCAGGTTTCTCAATGAGAACTTTGTGTGATAGTGACTAAAGGTCAAGTAAATGTTCAACTGTTAGTTGTTGACTCTTTCAATTAAATGTATATTCAGCGTATCCTTTTAGTCGACTAATGTGAGACAAATAATGACATGGGATTACAGGAACATCATTTATTGTATCAAACATGTTATGATTTTAAAAGCTAACCTATTCTGCCTTTACGTACGAGAAGAGGTACCATCTGTTTCAAACTATGCAATCGTCACTGCAGACACTGCCGTGCGTCCTTTATGTTGGCATGGTTGTTAAGAAATACAGCCACTAGAGGGCAGCACAGAGACGAGTTTCTGACAACAAGAAACATGGTAGCCGGTGGAGGACGTTGTGTCGCTCTTAAGAGCTTAAAGTGGCCAGGTTGTAAATGGCTGTGGTTCAACTTAGCAACTTGCGAAGTCTCTCCTCAGAAAGTTCCTCTTCATGTCCTATGCCTGTCTCACTGGCACAGTTGGCTACACTGCCCCCTATGATTTCAGGTGGTAATGCTGTTTTTCATCCATTTTGTCTGTATTGGTAAGCTTTCCACAGATGTGCACAAATATGGACAAAATGAATGCTGAATGTGGACAGAAGGTTCTGTTACTTTCTGTAAATGTTTCTAACATTGAGCATAAATTAGCCACGAAAGCCCGAGTCTCCGTCTGAACGAGGACAGACTTTTCTAAAATGTTCTCACCTGTATATAGTGGAAATATGTTTTATATAATATGTTATAAATATGTTACTGTCTCTCCTCAGAGCAGGAAACAAAATGACCTTTTCAAAAAGTCTGTTGTTGTTCTCAATTTGTCCCAGCCATTGTCCAGGGAGAAAGAGAAATCATTTTAAAACATCAAACAAAAATCTGCTCACCTACAAATTTTTGGGACATGCAGAGTGGAGTCATTTTCCCAACTGTGTTAAATATTTTATAAAAGTCACTTGTGCAGTGAGACATCAACATGAAAATTGTTCTAAAACTCAACAATGGATTTTTCTCCAGCAACTTATTGGGTTTTCCATGGATGTTTCCTGTATGAAACCCCAAATACCTTCTGCAGGTGGAATGATTCACAAAGGTCATGTTTAAGAAGCTATTGAAGTCAGAGATATTGAAGTCAGGGTTTCACTTATATTTGGACATTTTTCACAGCCCACATTATGAAAAAAAAAGCATCTGTGCCTCCTGGTTGCATTCATCCTTGAAAAATATTCAATTCATCTTCCCACAGGCAAATCTGAAGTAATTTCTCATGAATAATAAAATGCATGAACTTAAAGAAAATACTAGCTTAAGTGTTATATTTCAATTGATGCTGCTGTATTCTAGGTTTTCAGATTCTCAAAACTTTATTTACTTTCACTAAGTAGCTTATGTTTTTATCACAGTTTGTTTGTTTGTGAGCAGGATTACGCAAAAACTATGAACCAGTTTCCATGAACTGAAATGAAGGATGTGATATGGGTCAGATGAAAACCAAAAAAACAAATTTCCAGAGATTTCATTGCAGGATTTCTCAACATTTAATTGACTTGAAAAAAATAGGCATGTTTATGGAACTGATATCTCTATGCGTGTGTGTAATTTTGGGCAGTTTGATTGAATTTAAAGTTGCGTTTTACTGAGTGACATCCTAGTTGATAAAGTAAAATATATTTTGCATTATTTTCTATAGTTACAAAGCAAAGTGAATCTGATGAAAAAGCAGGTCAAAACAAAACACATAAAGAAAGCATCTGTCCATGATCAACAGCATACAGTTAAGACATTGCACATTTTTGTAAAAAAAAAATTGAAAGTTTTCTGATGAAACTTCAGGTGAAATGAAAAGAATAATTCCATTAACACTGTACATGATGTGAGTACAAACAAATCTACAAATCAGGAAACTAGAATGGCTCTTGGGGAGCGTAACACTATCATGTTGAAGAAAATTAAAAACAAACCTGGATCTGTCCAAAAATGTAATAGCTTCTTCCTTGGGTTATGATGCACCCCTCCACAAAATGTCATGAAAATCAGATGAGTAGTTTTTGAGTTACCTTGCAAAGAGTCAAAACACAACTAAAACAAAACCTCCTAGGCAGAGGTAAAAATAATAATACTATAGAACACATGAGTGATTCTGCATAAAATCCTACAATATAAGACCTGTAGGATAATTATATACAGGCAAATATGGCGCTAGGATCCTTTGTATAATTGTGTTATATATTTAAATTGAATATAAAGTATATTAGTGAAAACCTGATGTCAACAACAAGCACATCCTCAGAGAAAGATGCAGTAAACCCAGAGAGAGAACACAGTTGAATGAAATCAAATTCTATCAGCCATGCAGGAAAAAAAGGATCCTGAAAGGAAGTTGGCAGGAGCAAGACTACAGTGGAGAAAGAGAGCGAGATAAAGGGAACTTGAGATTATGTGGGTGTCACATACATTATTGAGTCTGGGCTGGAGGAAGTGGGAGCGGTGAGAGCAGCTGTTGGTTGGAGCTGATGTAATGGCGATCCCCGCTCCAAGGATGAATGGGGCTAATTTCTGGCAGGCTTCAATAAAAGGCAGCGAGGAAGAGCTTGCAGGCTGCGAATCAATCGTCACTCTGTGTGTTTTGTGGTATGCATATACCCAAATATGTTTAAATGCAAACTTGTCAGTATTTATTAATCGAACGGACAAAAAACTTCCTGAAAAGAAAGGCAGGATGAATGTGTGAAATTTCTTTGTTGATGCACAATTATTTATTTATCTATTTGTTGTGAAGGGTTCAGAGTGATAGCCACTTGCTCATGGAAAGCAGAAGGCAGTTTGTTTTCTTACTGTAGCACAACAAGACTTCAGAGGACAAGGTAATAAAAGCTGTTTATAACTCGAGACAGGGATAAAGAGGTTTTATATTTGAAGATGGACAAGCCACTTTTCATCATAATGTGCTCCGGGCGGCATTAAATCCTAATGGGACGGCCTGACAACATTTGTGCATTCTGTTGCTAAAAAGATGTGTTTCACATTTAATTTATTAGAACAGCAGGTTACATTTTTTTTGACTTGTGTCCCAAACACCGGTGCCAGCTGTTGTTGCTGAGAGCATTAAGACGTATCCAGAGAGTTGATGACAGGCCGCACAGGCCACCATTACCTCTATATATGAATATTATCATATCTCAAATCTCAATTCTCCGTGTGAAGATCAGATCTGTGCCAAGGCATCAGATCAGCTCTGTTAATCCAAACATAATCTTTCAGGATGTTCTCTGCTGCTTTCTTCTCCTGCAGCAAAGAATTGTCTCTATGTGCTGATGTCATAGGTTTTGTCTTCTCTGTTCACCTGCTTGACTTCTTTCTCTCTCTCTCTTTAAAGGTGGAGAGGTTCCCTACACCACTCTGGCTACGAGGATGATGATGGGCTTCTGGTGGATGTTTGCTCTGATCGTCATCTCCTCGTACACTGCCAACCTAGCAGCTTTCCTCACCATCACGCGCATAGAGAACTCAATACAGTAAGTATCCACCAGATTGTGTCCTCTGTTGTCAGTGGTGGCATAGTATTTACTACAGCTATACTATCGCACATGCAGGACTCACATACACACGTATGCGTTCCGTCAGGACTTGACCGTGCCCGATGCACAGTTTCTTGCTTGGGATATACAACATAGCCAGTTGTCATGCTAACGTGCAGTCCATCTTTCAATACAACCAACATGACACAACGCTACTCAACACATTCACACAATGACACAACAGAGCATTATTGCAGTGAATAAGCAGCCTTTTGGTCAAAGCCTTCAACACATCCTTTGCTACAGCATGTGTGTTCCTGATGAAAATACGGAACACACACACACGCACACGCACACACACGCACACACAAGCAGAAGTGAGAGGAAGCAGTTTTTTGCGTGTTCCTTTCAGATCGGATGCAGGGAATGAATCAAAGTAACAGGCAAAATCGTTCCACCTTAATTACTGTGCTTTCACGTACACATGAAGTAGCACACACAAACACACACGCACATTATTTCCCTCAGCTCCGTGCCCTCTGTTTATCTCTCCGTGTGATAATGTGGTCGCCAGCTTCTCTCCTGTTGGCACCAGGAAACGCTCATCTCTCATTGGACTAATCAGCACTCCAGAGCATCCGCTATGCCCGGCAGTGCCACAGTTAATTGTGCTTAGCTTTGGAATAAACAACATTTATTTCTGTAAATCTAATCACTATCTGTTTCTTAATGTGTTTCTGTCAGTTTGTGTCTCTGTCGCACTCTTTTCTGCTTTACTTTTGATTCCGGTCACTCTTCTTTTTTTTGCAGTTCTTCTGTCCAGTCCTTGAGAAAATTAAGAAAAAATTATTTTCTTATTTTCTTTAGTTTGTCCTGTTTGTTTATTTTGTCCTCTGTCAAACAGAAGTGCCTCTCAGTTTGCAGCATCTATTTAGCTAATTAAGGAGAGGTTATTTTAATGTGTTGACTCTTCTGGGGTCATTAGTGCTAGAATTACACCTCAGCACCCTCATGGCCCTGGGTCTCTAAAGTTGGGTGGTGGGATGAGAGTGAACACCCCCAAAATAATCAAACCTCAACAGCATAACAAAACCTTATGCACTGTTATCTATTAATACTTGATTAACATGTTACACAGACTGAATAAAAGTGAATGCATGTATATGGGATTGATTAAGGGAGTGAATTAGTTAAGTATGGAAAAAAACAAGCAAATGAATGCACCGGCAGGAGAGGAAGAGGCCGGGGAAAGTCTCAGTGAGCCGTCAGGACAGACAAGGTTTTTAAGTATTAATGCCCTTGTTTCATCCTGGAAATGAAATAACAAGTGAGCGTTCAGAACCCTCTCTGGACTATTTCACGCTTGGATGTTTTCCCTCAATTTCTCTGTGAATCCTAGAGGAAAACAGTGAGGGATGGCGGCGGAGAGTGGCAAAGAGACGGAGCAAAAGAGCAACAAAGTGAGAGACAAGAAATGCCATAAACATTATGAAGTGGAAATGAAGAGAGGGAAGCACATGGAGGGGAATAAAGGGTGAAACCGATTAAGAAGGAAAGAGGAGGAGAGAAGCAGAGGGTAGGAGACAGAGAAGTACGGGGTAGAAAGAGAGAGTGGAGAGGAGCAAGGAAATAAAGAGAGGAAGAATTTTGGGTGATGAGTCAGAAGGAGAACTAACAAAGTCAGAAAAAATGGCAGAAAATTGGAAGCACCTGCCAAGAAGAATAAAAGTGGATGGATTGGACAGGATGTGAAGATTGAAAGACAGTCAGTGTTTGCGGATATAAAAATTAGTTTCCTGGTCCAATCTAATATAACAGATTTCATATTTTATCCTTTCTAAAGTTCCCCAAATAAAATCAATAAGATGTGGGGTTTTTGTGTGTGTACTGGGTAAGTCGCATGAAGTCATCCACTGGTCATGAGAAAAGGATTGTAACAGCCCTGCCCCTTGTTCTGTTTAGTAAATGAGAAGGATTCATTAATTATTTACAGAAAGTGTAGCAGTTTTTAGTGACCAGAGATAACATATAAAAGGATAAAGAAGGTAAAATCAGATTTGATGGACTGTGGCTTGGATTGTGCCTCATTTGCACTTTGCTTTGGGCAAAACCATTTCCCAAATGACTACATTTAAATGTGACTATTTGTTATATTAATACAAAATAATATATAAGTGACCATATTTTGTAAAATGACTTCAGAGGTTCTCAAATTCTTCCAAAATGTACATAATTAATAATCAAACCATTAGAAAAAGCAGTTTGCACAGCACTTATATTAAACATATACTCTTTTCATATTTAGCTGCTACATCTCTCAGTTACACTACTCATAGATTGCTTGTAGTTTTTGCTAGATAGCTGCAGTTCTTCAAAAGCCATCTGTTGATGCATTCGTACATTTCCGCAAATACATTTCCCTCCAGAAGCACAAAGCCAAGGTCATCTTTGTCCTTTGGCATCTGCAAAATTAGCAGCTCATCAAACTCTAACATAAAAGAAACACCTGAGGTTGCATAGCAACCAAAGTCAATCCAGCGATATGAAAATATAATTTGAGAAAATTACCTTTTCCTTTGAGTACGGTTCCCTTGAAGGCTTGAATTTGTTACATTCAGCTTTCAAATGGGAACCGAAGACATAAACAGATGTTACGCACACATACTCAAGCGAGAGAGGCAAAAGAATGAAATCAAATAAAAATAGGATAAGATGGAATAAAATAAAGTACATTGGACAAGATGGAGGATTTCACTTGTTTGTTTGAAGGTCTCCAGCACTAGTTAAGATGCTAATCACCAGTTGATGGTTGTTAGTGACCACCAGCAGATGTTAGGGACATATCTTCAGTTGTCTACCTTAGCGCCATCAGGTGTTATATTATGAATGGCAAACTCAGAATAATAAAATATATTTATAATAATATTCTGTTATGATGAACTCTCTCAGGCCTTTCTCTCTGTCTGTGTTCCTCTCTCACTACCTCTCATAATCTCACACACACACACACACACACACACACACACACACACACACACACATACTGACTACTTGTCATGAGATACATTCAGCTGCTGTTCACTCCATTTACTTGCTCATTGAGCTGCTTAGGGGAATATAATTGGTTGCAAAATGAGCTAGCATACACACAAGACAGAAACACAAAAACACAAGTGGTTGTCGACACACACAAACACACACAGACATTAAATCCACATGAGTAGGTCACAAAAAGACAATTCAACACATGATTCATGTATGCATATCGACATGATACAACTCAAACAATAATAGATCGGGAGAAAACCAATGTCAGTGTCTTTATATTAAGACTCATTTAATAGTGTTTGGAGAAAAATATATTTTTAAATTATTTATATGCTGTAAATAAGTAAATACCACACCGGTGCATTTTAACCACAGCAGTGACAGTTCTTATGGAGCTCTATGAATGCCTTCTGTCAGAAAAATTATCAGTGATATAAAAGGAAGAATATTGTTTTTAATATTTCCACCTTCAACTTTAGACCATTTTACTTTAGAGTTTGAGCTTTAGTTAGTCTCTAAAACCTGAATCTGATCTGCATCTCAATTTGAGGCTGCATAGTGTCGACCTCTGTGGGGTATATCAGACGGACCTGGTCTGCCTTCAGTCACAAGCTGTTAAAGAGCCCATGGTGGGGATACCAGGATGTTGTGACCATAAATGATCCAGTTACCTTATTTTGGCATTCCATTTAATGTTTGATGGGTCACGGTGGACAGAGAGCATGTGAATTTACACTTTAACTCCAGGATCAATCAATCAAAAAACAGATTGTAACCACTCCCCAGAGAGCCATCAGGCCTCCTTCGAATAAAAACAGAGGTCAGCTGGGGACTCACACTCTAAGCTTTCTTACTGTCTCTCCCTCTTTTTCTCTTTTAGATTTAACATCATCTCTTATTCATATATAATTTCTTATTTTCTTCACCACTTTTCTTTGAGTAACTTCTCTTGCAGCATATTTTACTTTTCCTTCAAGCAAGTTGCACATGACTATTGTGCCTGAGAAGTTTGGTTTTAATTTTTTTCCTGCATAGCTCTTCAGAAATATGTTGGCTATAGGCCTACTCATAGTAGAAATTCTCTTTCAATTCAATGTAAGGTTCCACCAACTTTTGCTTTGGGTTCCAGTCAAGGAATTCATTTTCTTTCTAATTCTGCTGATAATGACTTGGTTACAAGAGTTATATTCCTTAAACATTAGCATCGTTTAGCATTATCAACATACAACTGCGCCCTAACATATTATCTGCCACCGTCACTTTGCTCATTTCATCTCAAACTAGAAGGCACTCACAAGCAGTCTCCTGAAATTCCGTCAGACTTCACCTAATTTCACACACTCATAGGGATGAAAACGCATGTAGTTATTTAAATTGTTTGTTTATTCAACTGTGAATGATTTCTTATTGGTCATTGGGATTATTCCCTACTGGTAAATAGTTCAATGCTGATTTACCCTGTTGTTGTCTTTGTGTTTCTTCTAAGTTGCAAACAGAGATTCATTGAATAGAAACACATGGCTTCTTATCTAAGTCTGATCTAATTGCAGTATCTAAACCTGCTCCAATAGGAGCTGATGAGCCTTTGTGTACGTGTATTAAATTACAGATTGCCCACTCGATACTTGACTTGGAGTCAAATGTATGCAAATGTCACCCCTTTTTGTAATCTGCATTTTTTTGTCTCGGTAATATCTTGACTTCTCTTATGTCTGTGTTTGTTTGTGTCTACCTCTTGCTCCTACACATGTGCAAATCAGTAAATAACAAGAGTCACCACTGAGTGAAACCAGTTCACACTAGGAAATTCTGGTGTGCTTACAGACATACAGTATATATTCACAGAGGATTGGTGGGGAGGAAGAGGATCAAGGCCGAGAATTAATTGACAGCAATGAAAGATTCATGCTTGTGGCAAAGTTCATTAAAAACTTCAAAGTTTATTTTTTTCCTCAATGCCATGGGGGGGTCACCGTTAAGAAAACCATGAGAGAAATAAGTAGAGTGAACCTCTCATTTCATATGTGTGTGTGCATGTTTTCACCTTGTAAATATTTGTATTTGTGCCCATTGTTAAATGTGCTTTGTACCTTGTTCTTCATTTAACAGGACACATTTAGAGTTTTGGGGCAAATGTTTTCATACATAAATGTGTCTCTCAAACCATGGGTAGCATGTAGCAGCCATTTAACCAACAAACAGTAATCAGTTCCTGTAATTGTTCTTTATTAAATTTCTCAGCAGCCAAACTCTTTGAAAGGCAACCTCAGCACTGTTGCGTTATAATTAACAAACGCTTGTGAAATCCCCCAGAGGTGGCGATTTATGGGTGAAGGTCAGAACACAAGAGAAAGAAAAATAAATAGAGCAAAATAGCAAAGAAAACGTTTCTTCTTATCTTCTTCACTTCATGGCCCCATTTTCTTTACTGTAACAGCAGAAATCAGGTTAGGGTGTCACCACCCATTCCCCAAAGTGATTTGATTTCGATTAAACTAAATTTTGAATAAAAAAAAATAATGATTTGATTTGGGATAATATTGTATCAGGAAGGAAGAAAGGACAGAAGAATTTAGACTTGACCCCAAAGCAGCTGCACTAAAGTTATTAGGCTTTGTGTGTTGCTGAAGCATTTAGCTTCAGAGTTTATGGTTTTCCTGCATCCTTACCTACCTGAATGTCACATTATCACCCTTAAACTGTCATTTTCTGCATCAATGTCAACTTGAAAAGAGAATGGACGTAAAGTGGTAGCAGTTTGTTGCTGCTGAAATCACAGTATGAATGGATTTACTAACTCTTCTCACTTGTGTGTCTCTAGGTCTCTACAGGATTTATCTAAGCAGACAGACCTGCCTTATGGTACAGTGCTGGACTCTGCAGTATACGACCAGGTGCGCTCCAAATCTATGAACCCCTTTGAGAGAGATCCCATGTACTCCCAGATGTGGCGGATGATCAACCGCACCGGAGGAGGGGACAACAATGTTGAGGAGTCAAAAGAAGGCATCCGCAAGGTAGGTCTTTTCTTTTTTATGATAAGGAACACGTTTCAAATAAAAGACCAATGACACGTGTAAAATCGCTGTGGTTAGTAAAACAAACATTTGAGTCCGAGTCCTCCTGAGATAGTTTTGCAGCATCAATGCAGTGATTATCCACTCTGTACACTCAGGTCTTTATTTACCAACATTTAGCTTTGTCATTTTGAAGACATGGATTTTGGTTGTTTTGAGAAATGACATATTTTATGTCAGTTATTCAGCCATTATGCAACACTGGAAAAGCTTTGAGATCACTGCAAAATTGTGCTGCATTCTTGCTCTTGCCAGAGAGCAATTTCACTCATTTGCAAGCATTGCCGCTACATTGCTAAATGTCAGAATAACCATGCAGCAATTCACATGACACACGTACAATGACATGTTGCTGCTAATGGGCACTGGCGGATCTTAAATCTCTTTAAATCAAGGTCCATAGAGGGGCCACAATTTAGACAGATGGTCAATTATATGACCAACATCCATATATGACTCCTGATCCAGTGAGATCCACATTCAAGTCATTCCTTGTTTGTTCTCTAGCTTTGAGCAAAGCCACACATCATTTGATATATTTTGAAAATTGTTCCTTGTTCAAGCACATTGTGTACTTCAAAAAGTAATTCAAAAAGAAATATTCTACATAAACTGTCATGTTCTTTGTTAATAGTACAAGTGATTATTTTAAAGACTATTTATAAAGTGACCCCCAGCCTAGATATTACATCAATTTCAAAATGGTAAAACATAACACTTCACCAATTATTGTCTACTTTTGACTCAATAAAAATTTTCACTGAAATAAAAACTTCAGTAATAAATTTAAATTGACAGGTTTGTGTAAACCTTCACCCATAGTTCCTTCTGTATTTAATACATGAAATGAAACATGTCCTCTTTGGAAATACAGCTCAGGCTACAGGGTCGTCTGTGTTGACAGAGGCTAAAGCTATCTAAACGATGGTAATGATACACAGGTAACATGCACATGGTTAGATACTTAATTCCCCAGCATTATTCCCCAGCATTATAAATACCTGACTGCTGCATCTCATTTGCATGCACCACGCTCTCTGTTTGCATCGGCTCGCTCTCCTCCAGGGAGAGTCTCGGTTTATCCTTCCCTCTCCCTTGAATATGTTAGACTTGAACTGTAGCCAGCATGGGAAGCGTTGGGAGGAGTGATTAAAGTGGTGGGTGGTGTTTTTAAAATGATGAGATAAATGCAGTACATAACCGCACATAAGCACATAACTATTAGTACACACTCACACACATTGCTTGTTGGCAGAGGTGTATGTATTTAATAGCGATTCTAGAATCCTGAATAAGTCAGTCTGTCCTCTATCCATACATG